TTTTATTTACATAAAAAAAAAAAAAAGCTGCACGTAGAAAATGTGAGCTACCAGGGAGAGGGATGGGAGAGAGGAGACCAAGGGGGAATGGACTTGGGGTTGTGAGGTTACAGAACAAGCCTGCCCGCTGTACACCGAGTCTTTGATCACCTTCGTTCTCAAATGGGAAGTGCACCAAAGCCAGAGTAGACTGAACAACACACCCACTCGCCCACCCAACGAATAGCTGGGGACAGCACGCATTCTGGAATCACAAAGAAACTAGGAAGATGGTGCCACTTATCCTCGTGGACTAAAATGGAGCTATTTATGGCTAGTGTGGCTTTCTAGCTGACCAAGCTCCAGAAAGAACCCTATGATCATTGCCCAAAGAAGCCAGGATTACTACTTCAAAAGGGGGGAGATCGAAGGTTATGCTGACAGGAAGAAGTCAGTCCTGTGCAACCTGAGACCAGAGGTTCTCACTGAGGGCATTTGGAAACCTGTAAGCTCTGGGATGCTATTACATAGTTGGCCGTGTGGGTTCTGACTGCCTTAACCACCAGACCACGGTGCCTGCCCTTTATTAGACATGACTCCCTGCTTATTCTCCCTAATATTTTTAAAAGTTTACTTATTTCTTTCTCATATGAGGGAGAGAGATAGAGAGTACCTCAACAAGGTCTTGATGCCATGATCTACTCCTAGCTCCAACCAGCCCCAGCTCATGGGCACACACATGCCCAGCATACCCAGGAAGTCTACAGACATGAACCCAGCACCTTCCCATGCGGGTCAGTCTTGTAAAGTATTATGTTTTGTCACCACACCATCATTCGGCCCCAATTTCTTCTTTATATCACAGCTAGCCCATTATTTAGATTTTTGGCAGTTATATATATATTTTTTTTCTGACTATAACTCAGGACAATAAACTTACCTGATATTTGTTATAAAAGGGAAGCCTTGAGACTGATAATGTAGAGAACCATAGTGTGATCCCTGCCTAGCCCAGATAACTATAAAAGGGCCAGCCCATATCTTAGTAGTTAAGGGAGAAGGATCCCACATGGCCAGCTGACTGCATGGTTCAAGTCCCAGACCTGGCAGCTTGAAAACATGCTAGGGATATGTGCTTACATGCCCAAAGTCCCAACAGGAGGGAGAAGTGAAGAAGGGATTGTGGGATGATCATACCCCATTGGGGGATGCTTTCTCCCACTCATTTTATCTCTGTCTCTGGAAAGCACACATACACACACACACACACACACACACACTCTGACAATTAAAAAAAAAAAAAAGGATACTATAACAGCAGAGATTTACGGAGTGTCACTTGTGTGCAGTAAGACTGTGCCACCTGAGATGCTGTTATTACTCCTACCTCACATAATGACACCAGGCCCCGAGACATGGACTGGCTCTTGTGGTGAGCGAGGGGCCGAGCCAGATCCACCACCAGGCATTCTTGCTCCAGAGCCCCTGTGAGAAGCCCGTGTGGCCTGGCTGTGAGACAGCAGAGTGCAGAGGTGGGACGAGCAGTAGCCTCTGGGCTGGCGAGGGCTCCCACACACATTCTTGTAAACATGCCGGAACTAGATGCCAGTATCGCAGGCTTGGGAGGTTTACATCTACGTTCCAGGCTTCTCGTGAGAAATCAGAGGCTCTGATCTCAGAGAACCCACATCCCTACAAGGCGACTGGCAGCCAGTGTGGAAAACATGGCAGCAGTGATTCTCCTCCCTGCCTCCAAACCCTATGACTGTGACTTTAAAGCTCTTCCCACTAGAAAAGTGGAATCTATTTCCCCACCCCTTGTGTCTGGGCTGGCCTTATGATCTGACAGTGTGCCAGTTCCCAGCTGAACCCTCTAACACCTTGCCATCACCCTGCCCTTAGAGCCCTGGGCCCGTCATGGGAAGAAGCTTGCCTGAAGGAAGAGGAGAGACCTTGTGACCAGAGCTGAGTCAGCTCAGGTGTCCCAGATACCTGAAACAGCCCAGCCTGGATCAGCAAAGCTGGCCTGCAAGTGACTGCAGAGACGTGAGGATGCTCAGCTGGGACCACGAGAACCACGTGCTGAGTCCAGTTAAATTGCTAGCATGAACTAAATAAATGTTTGCTTTAAGCCACTGTGTGGGGGAGGTTTGTGCTCTGGCAAAAGCCACTTGACAACAAGCAGAAGGACTCCACTGCAGCTACTTGCACACAGCCTGAGGTGCCCAGCTGGCCGCAGTCTCCATTCTACCTCGTGTCTCATTTGTGGCACCTTACTCCCCTCCTTTCTGCGATCCATCTCACTCCCGTAGAGATGTATTTAATGTCCTTTGCAAAAGCCTCATTTTGTAAGACCCTTACAGAGATGAATCAAAGGAGAAACTTAGTATTGTTTTTTTGGAGGCAGACAAGAGCTAGGACATGGATAGTTGAAAGGAGTCTGTTGTGCCAAGAGGGGGGTTGAAGAGTGACAGGAAGAAGGGGCGAGGGGCAGTGGCCCAGTGGACAGTCCACATGAGACTATCTCATCTTCCAAGACCTAAATTGACAATGTCTTTCTCTTAGTTATAAAAGAGATGTCTGAGTGAGATAAATTACTACTACTATGATCAATAATACTAATGATGATAATAATAACAAACTCTGTTTTTCTGACACTATGCTGATTTCCAGAAAAATGACCTTCATCTATCTCCATTTGGTGAACTTGTGCAGGGGGAGAGAGAACCCTCTTCAAAACAGAAAAGAAGCAGAGCATTCCCGGGAAAGGACATGTAAGTGACTCTTAAATATGACCAACTTTAATCCTAACAAGACAAATGCAAAATGAAGTCACACTAAGACATCACTGTCCACCTGTCCCAGTTTCAGCTCCTAGTTGGAAAAACACACTCTGCTGGGGAGACTGGGAAATAAGCACCCTCATACCCTCACGTGTTGCCGATGGGCTGATGGGAATGTGACTGACAGAGTCTTTTTTTCCTTTTTTTTAGGTTTTTGCCATAGGGCACATGGGCTTGCTGAAGAGAGACAGAGACAGTGAGAGGGAAAGTGAGAACTCACTCCCCATCCCCAGGGGAATGCCACTGCAAAACCTTCTCCTCCATTCTCCTCCTGAGATTTTAGGCAGGCATACACCCATGCGTGGTATGAGTTTCAAGCTGCCATGAGTCTGGGACTCAAACCATGGCTGGCCATGTGGGAGTCCAGTGCCTTAACCACCACAGTACCTGCTGGCCCCGACTGATGGAGTCTTTACAGAGGGACACTTTGCAATATTTATCAAAATTATCAATACATGTTTCCTCTGACCTAGCAATCTCACTTCTGAAAATTTATCTTGCTGAAATACTTGTACTAGAGGAAAATGACTTATGTTCATGAGTAATCATTGTAGCACTGTCTGCACTATAAACAAATATAAACGACTACCTGGTAGAAACTATACAGACATTTATAAAATCACAAACGTTATGTGCAGAAAGGGAAAGTCCACTAAGATACACACACACACACGCACATGCATACATATACATATGAAATTATACATATATATGAAATTTTATATGTGAGATTTAACCATAAACTTTTCATTTAAAAAGGTGGAAAAACAAGGTATGTGCTTGTAATCACTTGTGTAGGGGCACTTCAAAAAGTTCATGGAGGGAACCAGCAGCTAGCGTAATGGCTATGTCGCTGGATTCCCACGTAATCGACTGCAGTTTGCGTCCCGAACCCGGTGGCTTAAAACTCACGCCGGGCGCGTGTGCGTGCGTGCCCAGGATCCCAAGAGGAGAATGGAGGAGAAGGGATTGCAGCGTGACCATCCCCCCTGGGGGGTGATTTCTCACTTTCTGTCTCTATGTCTCTGTCTGTCTGGTGAGCACACGCACCCTATAGCGAAAAACCTCTCAAGAAATAAAAAAGTTCATGGAAAATGGAACTAACATATGAGTTACTTTCATGTAAAACAATTTTGAGATCCAAAAAGACAAACTATCCAAAAAAGAGACAAAAATTTTGAAATCCATGCATAGTTTTTTTATACTATGTATTTTTCCATGGACTTTTTAAAGGATTCTTTTATTGATTATTATTATTATTATTATTATTATTAATTTGACCAGAGAGAGAGAAAGTGAGAAAGTAGGCTACCAGGCCTGGGACTTGAACCACGGTCAGCCATATGGGGTCCAGCATCTTAATCACCACACCATCTACCAGCTCCTTCTGTGAACTTTTTGAAGAGCCCTCATATATGTAAAAAGAAACTGCAAAGATACATAAGAAATTTAAGTGATTACCTTAACTCTGTGGTTAGTAATTGGATGGATGAAAGAGCAGAGCTGGGATAATTTTTTTTTATTTTTACTGAATAAATTCTTTACATGAACTTTGAAATAATACCAGAAATGTGTATCATTTCTGGACTAGAATATTTCATTACCAGCACTGGACCCTCTGGAGCCTTTGTCTCTTTCCCACGGTTACTGGCAATATTCCAGAGAGCAACTTCTCAGACCTTGGGTCCTGGAATGTGCCTGCTACAGAGCCCAAAGTCAACCCATAATGAATCATAAGGAAGTAATAAATGTTGTCATTTGGAACCACCGAGATGCAGGAGCTATTTGTCTCTGTAGCACAGTCTGGGCTACCCTGACTGATTCAGCTACTAATACTGATGTGTTCCTGAAGCAGCACGAATGGCACCACTCACAAGGGTGAGACTGTGAGACTGTGGAGCCTGGGCTCCAAGGGCGGGAGCACGTGCTCACTGGTCCTTCTACTCACACTACTGCCTCAATGATGCGCTGGATCTCCCGCTGCAGCGCTGGCTCCTTCCGGTATGCATCTACCAGCAGCAAGGCCTGGTCGTAGTTAGCACAGTAGACCTTATAGACATGCTCAAACTCCTCTTGGAATTCCAGGAATAGGTTACCTGACAGTGAACAAGCAATACAAAGTAATCAAGGACCGTGGGTGGGGAGACTCTCCAGCTCTGCAGTGAGAATAACAGGCTCAATGGGTATGTCACGTGGGCAAGTGATCTCGTCTTCCTCAGTTTCTCTTTTATTCATCTCAGCCTCATAAGGTTGCATAAGGATTTCGTGACAGGATGCTACAGAGCTCAGGCTGGCACACTGCGAGCACTCCGTAATGCTAACCAGGGTCACAGCGATACTACGGAGTTGTCGGGAAAGTTACGATGCATTTTTACAATAGAAAACCATAAAAAAGTCCATCATGACTTTCTCAATGACCTACTAATGCTGCTCACATCTTTTTTTTTTGAAGAGGTTGTTGCTATAGGGCACGTGTGCTCGCCAGACAGACAAAGAGAAACATAGAGACAGAAAGCGAGAAATCACCCCCCAGGTGGGATGGTCACGTCACAATCCCTTCTCCTCTGTTCTCCTCTTGGGAGCTTGGGCCCGCACGCACACGCGCCCGGCGTGAGTTTTAAGCCACCAGGTCCAGGACGCGAACCACAGTCGACTACGTGGGAGTCCAGAGACATAGCCATTACGCTAACTGCTGGTTCCCCTCACATCTTGATAGTGCTTTACAGTTTACAAAACACACTATCATTAGCTACTTTTACCTTTATGATGAACTGAGTGTGGAAAGGACATTCATGAAGTTTACAATCACTGTAACCCTGTCTGCACTATTAAAAAAAATGTAAACAACTACGTGGTGGAAAAGTATGCAGCCATTTGTAGATCATGAACATTATGTGCAGAAATGGAAAGTGTGTGTATCTGTATGTGTATATATACGTATATATACATATATGTATAATTTAATATATGTATAATTTCATATATATGTAAATGAAATTATACATAAATGAAATTTTATATGTGTGAGATTTAAAAATAAACTTTTCATTGAAAAAGGTGAAAAAACATACTAAGACACACTATATATACTTTACGTAGACATTCTACACACACTTTACAAAGACATACTATAGCTTAGCTCAGGTAGTTGCAAGGGTGAGCTTTGGTGTTTGAACTAGGGCCAGATCACCAGTCAACGCTCTTCTAGTCATAACCTGGGCAAGTGTCTGACCCCTCTGATCCTCCATGTTCTCCTACAGATCGGGAATAAAAACAGTACTCACCTTCGGGTGTTTATTGTGAGGATTAAGTAAAATAATGTATGTAAAGTACCTGACACAAACCATTCCCCAAATATTTACCAACTGCTTATTTATTAACGATTGACTATGTTGCAAGCATTACGCTAAGCTCTGCGACCAAACCAAAGCTCCTGCCCATGGGGTTTATATTTTAGAAGGGAATACGGACAATAAAAAAATACCGTACATATGTCAGGCAGTAATAAGTGCCATGGACTACAGTAAAGCCAAATCAAGAGTTAAGGGTTATGTCACTGGATTCCCACATGGCCAACTGTGGTTCAAGTCCTGGATCCGGTGAATTGAAAATCACACCAGGTATGTGTGCTTGTGTGCCCAAAATCCCAAGAGGATAATGGAGAAGAAGGAATTGTGGCATGGCCATCCTCCCAGGGGTGATTTCTTTCTGTCTCTCCAGCAAACACATATGCCCTATAGCAAAAATCTCTAAACATAAAAATAAAATAAGGTCTATTAACTAGGGGGAACAAAGATCCATACCATGTTGACACTAAATTAGGGTTCAAAATTGTAACTAGGCTAACTGTTCGAGGCTACTAGAAACATCAAGGCAAGAGTATTCAGTGGCCATCTAGGGAGGAAGCAGTGAGAATAAGAGAAACAGGGACCTCAGCAGGGCAGGTGGGAGCAAGAACCACAGACTTCCAGCCGACCCTACTGCCTGCTGGATCTCTGGGACGATGCCCCCTTTGGAACACATCAGATGGTGCCCAGAGAAACGCAGTCCAGCTCTCAGCAAAGATCTCCATGGTGAGATTATCAGCCCGGGACAGAAACCTCAGTGCCAGTCCAGGGAGTCCGGGAGAAGCCCCTGGAGCCAGGGAAGGTCAGCTGAAACGGTACAGAGAAACTCCCACTGGGAGACAGCTTGGGCATAGCCATAAAGCCTAGGGCGGGTCCCATCTTCTCCCAACATAGTTATATTCTCAGGAACGTGATAAACACGCCAAAGAAACTATATCCCATAGGTCTGGTTAGGGGTTGGGGGGGTTTTAGTAACGGAAGGGTGGAGGAAGCTAAACTCCCAGAAAGCAGAGTTGTCCAAGAAGCAGGAAGGCCTGAGATAACAACATAAAAACTGATTTCTTAACATATATCAACTGTCTGGACTCTATGGTAGAGACTGAAAGACTGGAGAACGTAAAAGTATTAAAAATTGCAATGGCCACTAGAGACAAAGTGGAAAGAGAATGTGAGGGGGGAGAAATGGAGAGGTAAGACACTTGTGGGACACAAAGTGTGTATGGTGGTCTCAACTGGCTGGACTGGGGTATATATGATGCTGGGTAAAGTCTCTTCACAATCTAAATGATGTATAGCGATTTAATGTATGAATAATGATAAATATATATATAAATAATTTTTAAAAAAACTGATTTCCTCCCTCCTTGTCCTTCTACAAAGATTAGCAAAGAAACTACTCCCGGCATCAAAAGGACACTCCATATCTAGCTGGCGTTAGTTAGGAAGGTGAGAACGGGAAGCAGGATGGTCAAGGGCTAGGGTTCCAGAGATGGAAGAGTTGGTTTCAAGTGCTAACTCTGCCTGGTCAAGCTGTGTGACCTTGGGAAAGTTAGCTGATCTCTCTGAGCATCAGAGTTTTCTTTAGTACAGTGGGTAATAATAATAATAACCAACAAGTAAGCGTTAGGAGAACGCAAGGGCTAGAGCACGTTAAGTACTGTGCTGTAGGGCTGGCACACAGATGGCTGCTACGTTCTGTTCACTTTAGAGAGATAGCAACTGAAGTTAGAGGCGGGAAGGAGCTGCTGAGGGGCGGAGCCTTATCAGGCAGACTCCAGAACACCTGCCACGCCTGCCACACCCACACTGTCCAAACAAAGCAGTACCCGTAATCACCAATCACGTGGGGTTGCTAGACGCCTGAACTATGGCGAATCCCAACTGAGACGTGCTGTCGGTGTAAATGACACTGGGTTTCAAAGACTTGGTACAAAATACAATAAAAGTTTATTTTTTAATCATTATTTTATTTAACTTTCTTTCTTTCTTTTTCATTTGACCAGAGAGGAGAGAGAGAGAGAAAGTGAGAAAGCATGCCATCAGGTCCGGGACTCAAACCGTGGTCGGCCATGTGGGAGTCCAGTGCCCTTAACCACCAGGCCACCTGCCAGTCTCAATACAATACAAATTTCTAATGAACATTTTTTATACCAAGCACATGTTGAAATACTATTTTGGATCTATTTGGTTAAATGAAAGCTCTTGGCCCAGCCTTGGTGATGAGGTGGCAGGGTACCGCTACGTAGTACTGGAGCTACATAGGAAGGCCCTGGTCAGTTTGAACACGCTTGTGATCCTGGCTGGCTGGAAGGCTGGGGGTAGGAGGTAGGGGTGGAGCCCTGTCAGGGGTGCCTGTCTCTGTCTCTCTCTCTCTTTCTCGGCTTCTCTCTCTCTCTCTCTGCAAATTAATAAAAATATTTACCATTAAAATAAAGCTCACAGGGACCACCAGATGGCATAATGGTTACATTGTTGGACTTCCACAACCCCGGTTCAAGTCCCAGACCTGGTGGCTTCAAACTCACACCAGGAGCGTGTGCATGCATGCCCAAGATCCCAAGAGGAGAATGGAGGAGAAGACTGCGGTGTGGCCAGCCCCTCCAGTAAGTGATTTCTCACTTTCTGTCTGTCTCAGCCACAAGTTGCATGACCTTCTGCAGGTTACTTCCCCTTTCACCAGCTGTAAAATGAGATAACGGTATCTACTCTCAGGTGACTGTGAGGACTGAATGAGTTAATATCTGTTTATCAGAATGGAGCCCAATATTTACGAGGCACTTGGAATGTGGTTTTTAAACTCTTTGCACATTTGTTATTCTTCATCTCGTCGTCATCATCATTCACGTCCAGGGATGAGCAGAAGATGGGTGGTGGGCAGGGCAGCATGACTGAAGTGGCCACTACTCTGGGTACCTTTGCCTCCTCCTCTTCCCTGCATTGGACAAATCTAGCATCCATTTTCCTTCCTCTCCTGGCGCCATTACGAAACCCCAACCATGGAAATATGGGCAGTAGATGGCAAGAGACCAAAGGAGACTGGTATGAGGTTTGCACCCACTCCTCCCTCATGTTCGGGTCATCCCCAGCATTTCTGAATCAGGAGACCATCCTCATCTCTCACCTGGACCATGGGAAAGCCCCCCACTAGTCTCGATGCTTCCACTCTCACTACCCCCTCATAATCCCATTGTCCAGGTAGCCAAAGAGTCTTTTAAAACATATCACCTGGGAACCAGCAGTTAGCGTAATGGCTATGTCGCTGGAATCCCACGTAGTCGACCGCAGTTCGCGTCCTGGACCCAGTGGCTTAAAACTCACACCGGGCACGTGTGCGTGCATGCCAAAGATCCCGAGAGGAGAATGGGGGAGAAGGGATTGCGGCGTGACCATCCCCCCTGGGGGGTGATTTCTCGCTTTCTGTCTCTATGTCTTTCTCTCTCTGTCTGGCAAGCGCACGCGCCCTATAGCGAAAATCTCTCCAAAAAAAAAAAAAATCACCTAAATCATTTTATTTCCCTGCTTGAAATTGCCCAATGGCTTCATTGCTTAGAATACAATTCAAACTCCTGGGCCAGCAGGTGGTACGGAGGTAAAGGCACCGGATCCCACATGGCCAAGTCCTAGACCTGGTGGCTTGAAAAACACACCAGGCATATTCCCCTCCTGAGAGTGGCATGGAGGAGAAGGGATTGCAGCATGGCCATCCACCCTGCCCAGGGGGTGATTTTTCACTCTTCTTCCCTCTCTGTCTCTCTCTGGCAAGTGCACACACCCTGTGACCAAAAAAAATCTAAAAACTAATAATCCAAACTCCTTACCATGGTCTCTAAGACTCTGCATGACCTAGTCCTTGCTGCCCTCTTCTACCTTATCCCCCGACACTCTCCCCTCACCAGTTTTCCTAGTGGTCACAACAGTCTTCTGCCCTTCAGACATTCCAGGCTCATCCCTGTCTGAAGGCCTCTGCCTGGCTACACTCTCTACTCTCCATCCAGATATTCTCATGGCTGGTTCCTTTCCAACATTCCAATCCCAGCCCAAGTGCTGCCACCTCAAGAAGCCTTCCTTGGGACCAGCAGTTAGTGTAATGCCTATGTCACTGGACTCCCATGTAGTCGACCGCGGTTCGAGTCCCAGACCCAGTGACTTAAACTCATGCCAGGTGCATGTGCGTGTGTGCCCAAGATCCCCAGAGAAGAATGGAGGAGAAGGGATTGTGGTGTGGCCATCCCCCCTGGGGGGTGATTTCTCACTTCCTATCTCTATGTCTCTCTCTGTCTTTCTGGCAAGCGCACACGCTCTATAGCAAAAACCTCTCCAAAAACAAGAAGAAAAAAAAAAAAAAAGAAGCCTTTTAAGGGTGCTGGAAGTTACTACAACTATTAATTTCCCTCAAATTTTGAATCACTACCTGAAGTTTTCTTGTGGGATTAGACTATATGCTATTTGAGGGCCCTGCTGGCTCTGATATGTTTTGGGGAGCCCTAAATCAGACTCCTGCATTTCCCTGAAACCTTGCAGATAGTTTGGCAATGGCCAGGTGCTGAAGAAAACCCCCCAGTAACCTAAGGCTGACGACTTCCTCGGTCTTTCGCTTACCAATTAGGTACACTTGTTCCTCTTCCTTAGAGGCCGTCTCCTGCAGACCATGGAGAAATCTGCTGTTCACCTTGATGATATCATCGATGTTTGAGAACAGGATGTCCAGATCTCCCTGCGGTAGCTGGAAGGAACAAAGCAGCTCTAGGAGGTCACTGGGCATCCAGGAGAGTGACTGTACTTGGAGGCTTTGGAAGCAGTCCAGAAGTCCAGAATGCTCACACCATCAGACTCCCTAAACTCTTCAGAAGACTAAGAAGGCTTATCATTCCCCGTGGGATGCTTGTGAGCACCCTGACACTTTATGAGTCAGACATTTCCATTACTCCATATGCCTGGGCACGGACATACATGCTGGCAGCACGATAAGGTGGAAAGCTAACTGCAGAACTATCTCTGGAATGTGCTCTTTGGTTAAAAATAAGGGACCAGCAGTTAGTGTAATGGCTATGTCGCTGGACTCCCATGTAGTCGACCACGGTTTGCGTCCCGGACCCAGTGGCTTACACTCACACCGGGCGCATGTGCATGCATGCCCAAGATCCCAAGAGGAGAATGGAGGAGAAGGGATTGCGGCATGGCCATCTCCCCGGGGGGTGATTTCTCACTTTCTGTCTCTATGTCTCTCTCTGTCTGGCAAGCACATGCCCCTATAGCAAAATCCTCTCCAAAAAATAATAAATAAATAAATAAATAAATAAATAAATAACATACATGTATTTGTTTAATGCTTATGGAGAAAAATTCTAACTTCTGGAGGTGAAATAAGAGAGGTCTGGGGCTGGCAGGTGGTGTGGTGGTTAAGGGTGCTGGACTCCCACATGGCCAATGTGGTTTGAGTCCCAGACCTGATGGTTTGCTTTCTCACTTTCTCTCTCTCTCATTCTGTCCCTCTCTAGTCAAATTAAAATAAATAAATAAATATAGTTAATTAAAATAATTCTTTTTGGAAAAAAAAAAAAGAAACAAGAGTGGTCCTTGGGCTTTCACATGACCTACTTTGGTATTTCATTCATTCAAGAAAATCTAATTGAAAGTTTATTATTTTTATTTCAAGTCTAGAATATAGAAAACTAAACAGAATCTTTGCTCAGATACTTGAAATTTTACAGTGAGGATCTATATTATTTCTGAAACCAGAAAAATAAAAAGATGTAAAAATAAACATTATAATAGACGCCCATTACAGTGGCTATTTTTTCATGTTGTCACCCTGCAAGTGACAGGTAAAATATAGATCAGTTTAGGCAATTTGTTCTAAGTTTGAAAAGGGCTTGTTCATTAGTTGGCAAATTCTTTCAACTGATTATTCCTCTCCCCATTTAGCAGATGGATACACTAAGACTCCAAGCTAGTAAATGCTTGCTGAAGGTTGCATGGCCAATGAACGGAAGTACTGGGGGTCACATCCAGACCTCTCAGACTGTTCATGCCCCACACTTTCTTCCAAGCCTGACCCCAGGACAGATGTTAGGTTTCAGAAGCTGGGGCCCACATGTGCCCCTATTAAGACAGGCTGTGTGTGGCCCTACTCAAGTACCTGCTGGAGGTGGTTCCTGATGTCTGAGGCACAGAGCTGGAGTGTGTGCAAGTAGGAGATCTCGGTGTCGATGAGCTCCCTGACAGCCAGCCTCTGATGGAGCAACGATCTGTCCTCAGACACCCGACCTTCTTCATCTGGACTCCCTGACCTGGAGGACGGCTCCTCTGCCCTGTGATCGGCCATGACAGCAGGTTCTGGAAAAGACAAAACCATACCGACTCACTTCCAGAGGGCTCTACTGGGGTATGTTGTCTCTATTCCAAGACAGCTATTCATCAACAGGCCTACAAACATCATTAGCTGCAAACAGAGTCAAGATAACCTGGCCATTAGCATTTGTGGGCAGTATTTGAACACCACTCCTAACCAAAGGTGGGCGATAATTATGAGGATTGTTGGCATTTTAAATTCATGTCCCAGGATACAGACATTGTGCTTGTCTGGCTTTTCTTCTATTTTCTCCCCAGTTCTTGACCTAGATTTCTTTATCTGGTTCAGCTGAGTCCTTTCACCCTCTCTGTCCTAGTGGTTCCCTCCCTTCCCCCGGCCCCCTGCAGTCCCCACGACCCCATTCAGGTCTTACTACCTATCACTTGGGCTATTTCTACAGCCTCCAGACCATCTTTCCAGATCCAAACCCATCTCTCCCCTGCTGCCACCCACACCTACTCATCCTGCACACACTTCCAGTTTAAACTCCCTGAAACAGGCTTGTGATCATCATGCTCCCTGCTGTAAGACTTTAATAGCTCCCTGCTGCTCAGTGGTCTGGCTCCAACCTCATTTTCCCCTCCATAGCCCTTACTCCAGCGAAAGAGAGTTAAGTGCTTTTCTCCATACCTGCATTGTCATTTCCTGCCTCTCTGCTTGGCACCTGCTGTGCCCCCCACGTCTCGACCCTCCAACATTCTTCTTTCCTAAGGCCGTTCCTGATCCTCCCCCTCCTGCCTCACCCCACCAGCTGTACTTGTCTTCTCCGAAACTCCCACTGCCCCTTTATCTATCTCTACACTTAAAAAGTATAAAGGGCCATATTGTGGACAAGCTAAGCTAAAGAAACCTTCCCATTACACCTCACTTAGGAATGTTAGATCATCTGAGACAAACTTCCTTTAAACTGTGAGGCAGAGATTGCAGGAGAGGAAAGGAAGTCAGCAGGGCCCCAAACAGAAGGAACTGGAAACTAGAGTAGGGAGCAAATATGCTGACGTAACTGTGGCCCAAAGTGGAGAAGGGATGCAGGGGAGGGAGCACCGCCCATCTCGGGAACCAGGGCTGTGGGCATTAGTGCCCAAGCAGGAACAAGGACAAGTTCCTTCAGAAAACTGGGAACCACCCCACAAGGACTTCTGTAAAATGGTGGACCATCCAGACAAATCCATCCGCCCACAGAGACCATGATAAAAACACGTGTCTAGCTTGGCATGGGTCCTGGGTAAAGAAAAGTGTCTCCTAATTGCTAACAATAGGCTTGCCTTCACTGGGTTTGGGGTTCAAAAAAATATATGCATGTAATCCAACCAGCCCAAAGCTAGACACACAAAGAAGTTGTAGACTGGAGCCGCAGTGGTGCGGTGGTTAGGATGGCTAGATCCCACAAGGCTGACTGTGCGACTCGCGTCCATAATACCAAAGAAGAGCACATAAATAGTTCTTGGGGATGTATTAATAGTAGCTAAAACTTTTTTTTCTTTTTTTTGAGGGTTTTTTTTTTGTAGTAGTAGCTGAAATTTTTTTTTCTTTTTTTTGAGGGTTTTTTTTTTTTTTTTTTTTTTTTTGCTATAGGGCACGTGTGCTTGCCAGAAAGACAGTGAGAGACAGAGAGACAGAAAGCAAGAAATCACCCCCCAGGAGGAATGGCCACGCCCACAATCCCTTCTCCTCCATTCTCCTCTCGGGCTCTTGGGCACGCAGGCACACGTGCCCAGCGTGAGTTTAAGCCACTGGGTCCGGGACTCGAACCACAATCAACTACATGGGAGTTCAGCGACATAGCCATTACGCTAACTACTGGTCCCAGTAGTAGCTGAAATTTCTGTCTTGGGCCATAAGCACTAAGCATGCATCAGACAGTGTGTAAACTGAGTATCTGGGGAGGGCAAGGCTATTCAGAAGGCAAGGGGTCCAGAAGATCCTGGAACGCGTCTGTCTGGTGCACAGCTCTGTTCCAGCTCCTGAACACCACCTGTGGTCTCCTGAACTGCCCCTGAACTGAAATACAACATTCATTACCTTGTGTTCAGCTTCTCCAGAAAGATCCCCATAAAAATATTAGGCCAGCTATTTTCAGATTCCCATTTTCAGAATTTTTGCAAAATAAACAAAAAGCGTAAGTCATACTTCAAGTTCAGAATTATTGCAAAATAAACAAAAAGCGTAAGTCATACTTTACAGAGAACCGCTAGAAACTTAAAATACTGGGACTAGCAGATGGTGTAAAGGTTATGTCGCTGGACTCCCACGTGGTCAACCAAGGACCTGGAGTCTTGAACCTTACACCTGGCACGTGTGCATGTGTGCCCTGAATCCCGAGAGGAGAACGGAGGAGGAAGGATTGCAGCATGTCCATCCGCCCTGGGGAGTGATGTCTTGCTTTCTGTCTCTCTGACTCTCTGATAAGCACACACACCCTATAGCAAAAATCTCTTTAAATTAATTTTTTTATTTAAAAAAAAGGACTTAAACTAGCATTAATTTGCACTGAGGTTCTTGCAATCTAGACCTCCAAGCATGCCTGGAAAATGTCTCTGTGACAATATTTTTTTTTTATCCTTAGTATATCACCTATGTAATGAAAAGGAACACACTTTTATTTCTTTTAAAATATCATATATTATTCAGCAATAAAAAGGAATGAAGAGGGACAGCAGGTGGTGTGGTGGTTAAAGCAGGGGACCTCTATACGGCCAACTGCAGTCTGAGCCTCGGACACGGGGCTTGAAATCACAGCAGGCGGGTGTGCTCACAATCTGGGAGGAGAATGATGGAGAAGGGATTACGAGGTGTCCATCTTCCCAGGGGGTGAGTTCTCACTTTCCCTCTCTGCGTCTCTGTCTCTCCAGTGAGCGCACATGCACTATGGCAAAAAACTAAAAAAAAACTTTTTTTTTTTCAATTTTCTTTCTTCTCTTTTTTTTTATTTTTATTTTTTTTATTTTGAGAGATTTTCGCTATAGGGCGCATGCGCTTGCCAGACAGACAGAGAGAGACAGAGAGACAGAAAGCGAGAAATCCCCCCCTGGGGGGTATGGCCACGCCGCAATCCCTTCTCCTCCATTCACCTCTCAGGATCTTGGGCACGCACGCACATGCACCCGGCATGAGTTTTAAGCCACCGGGTCCGAGACATGAACCACGGTCGACTACGTGGGAGTCCAGCAACATACCCATTATGCTAACTGCTGGTCCCCAATTTTTTTTTAATTATATAGTATTCAGCAATAAAAGGGAATGAAATACTGGTATGTACTACAATATGAATATAGCTTGAAAACATGATGCTGAGTGAAAGAAGACAGTCACAAAGGACCATAAATTCCATGACTCCATTTACATGAAGTGTTCAGAATAGGAAAATCTATAATAACACAAATAGATTACTGGTTGCCTAGAGCTAAGAGGGCAGGTGTTAGGGGCTGAGGGCTAAAAGGTACAGATTTTCTTTTGGAAATGTTGAAAATATTCTAAATGGATTAAGGTAATAGTTATGTAAGTCTATGAATATACTAAAAATCACTGATTTATAGACTTTAAATGGGTGAATGACACAATGTGCATTATATTTCAATAAAGTTGTTAACAACAACAAATATGTGTGTGTGTATACACACACACACACACACACACACACATATATATATATATATATATACCAAATACTGGCAAGGATGAGGAGAAACTGGATCTCCTACACTGCTGATGGAAATGTTAAGTAGTACAGACACTTTGGAAAGTAGTCTGTCCGTGTCTTCGAAAAGAAAACATCCACTTACCATATGACTCAGCCATCACACTTCCTGGGCATCTAACCCAGAGAAAGACAACGTACGTCCACCTAGAAACCTGTACATGAATATTTACGTAGGTCTTATTTGTAATATTCCCCAATTAGAAACAACCAAAACGGCCCATTACAGATGAATGATTGCGCAAACTGCATTACATCATACCAGAGAAAACTCAGCAATAAAAAGAAATGAATTACTGATGCATAGCAACTCAGATGGCTCTTGAGGGAATGCTGCTGTGGAAAAAAATAAATAAATAAACACACACAAAACAAAACAAAACAAAAAAACAGCCTCCAAAGGTTACACGCTGTGTGATTCCACTTAATAACACAGAGAACTACAGAGCTAAAAAACAGGTTAGTGACTGTCGGATTAGGAACAGGGATGGAGGGCATGTGGGATGACGATAAAGAAAGAGCACCAGAGAGTTCCGTACCTTAATTAAGGGGGCAGCTACACAAACTAATCTCACGAGAGATAACAAGACATCTAACAATCATACACATGTATTGCGTCCATGCCCATTTTCTGGCTTTGATATGGTCTTATATTTAAATAAGATATAACTATCAGGAGAACGCGGGTGAAGAGTACACAGGGACTCTCTGTACCCGGCCCTGCAACTTCCTGTTTATCTAAAAATGATCTTTTTTAATATTGCCAGAGGGCATGTTCTCTCACCAGAGAAAGAAGGAGAACCCTCCGTTGCAGTGGGACAAGGGGCAAGGTCAAATCACAACCCTTTTTCTTCTATTCCTCCAGCCCGTCAGGATCCTGGGCACCCAGGTACACATGCCCAGTGTGTTTTCCAAGCCACTGGAGCTGGGATTCAAACTTCAATCAGCCGTGTAGGATCCCATTCTCCGTGCACAGCATTTAACTGCTGTACTACAAGGACAGTCCTGCCCTCTTTTTTTTAGTTTTACTATGGGGCAAGTGCACTTGCCAGAGAGGCAGAGGTGAGAGGAGTGAGAAGTCACCCCTCGCACAGATACATGGGGATGGCCCCGCTGCAAGCCTTTCTCCATTTTTCCTCCTAAGATTTTGGGCGAGCATACACACATGTCTGGCATGTTTATCATGGGACTCAAACCACTCAAGTCAGCCACATGGGATCCATACATCTTAACCACCATGGTGGGGGCATTAGGCCCAGTCCTAATTATTTCAAAATAAAAA